ACGCAGCAGCATTTCTTTGCATTCATTCTATGTTACAACAGCTCCATACCGCGCAAAGGAAAAGCTCTCCATGAAGTCACGTGTACTCAATATGTGGCATGGTTTCTGTTACAGGAATCAAACAATATGCAAATTGCATTTACTCTGTTCCCAAATAAGGGAGGGCCGATATGGAAAAATATGTATGACATCATTTCAATATCTATACATATATATATATATATTTGTGTCTGTGTCAAGCTAATGTCTACAAAATTTTACTCGAAGTACAACAAAGTCAAACTAAGGCTGTCATCTTTTCATTCTCAAGAATTACACAATTATGTCACTTAAACATTCAGTGTGTAGAATTCAGTGTTGAATTTGCATGTTGCAGCTGAATAGCCCTCGACTTACCCTCCCCTTCCAAACATGTAAATGACCCGTAGAAGCCTTCAATTCATATGAAAACTCAAAGGGTGTTTAGTTTGTCCAGTCTAGACTACTGTAAAAAACATGGCGGCCTCCATAGAGAGAAAATATGTATATTTGAGCCTGACTGATGTGGAATGTTGTGGGCGGCTGTTGATGGGGATTAAGACAAATGAATAACTACAAATGAAAAGAAACTTCTAATATAACCAAATATTTAGAACTTGAATTAAAAATATAAACTTACTTTTTTATGTTAAATGTAAAAATGACTGCACATCATTTCTGCATTGCTCATAATGTAAAACAATAGTTTACATATCGTTAAACATAAACGTCTATACCGAGTTCTCTTGGCCAAGCGATGAATCGGTCGACCTCTAAATGAAGTTGACATCTTCCTAGGTTTAGTCTTTCAATTGATCATGCACGAGTCTTTGACTGTAACATAACGTGAATGTAGATATAGAGAAATGATGATAAAATAGAGATACGTTGACAATGGGTCATATTAATGAATGAATGTGGACCAAAGGGCTATGCAGGGAAGAAATCCACAAACTCGCACACCTTCTGTGCTGACTGTGCAAATGGCACCAATGAACCCAGCAACCAGGACAACTGGCAAACGGTTCACTTTTAAAAAGTATGATACTTTCACTGTAAGCTGGTGAACAGCATCAACATTCAGGAAACCACCCTCTTTGGTTACTTCTGCTGAAACACACACACAGCCTCTTTTGAATGACTGTTCTTTGCATACATGACAAGAACACAGCTTCGACCACACACTGGCCTTCATCCCCTGCTCTGTTCTCATCACAGAAGTTCAGCCACTCACTAACAAAGCAACACGTCACCACTTAACCCTGTCATTCTCTCCCTGCGGCTTTGCAATGGCTGGTATTCCCATAAATGTCAGAAATGCACGCGGTGCCGACAAAACCGCCGTAAATCACCCTACGTGATTTGTTGCCTGTCACCACCGGAGCGTCTGGACGGCACTGAGAAAAGGTGAGGCAGGGAATGAGAAGCCACACGGAAAACCAGAGAAACTGGGAACGGTTGACTGGGCATAAACCCTGCGGTGGGAGAGTGAGATTACCCACCAAGGCCAAACATCTGGACAGGAGACAGACGTACCTACAGCTCGTCTGAAAATGCACCTTCTGAGAAATAAAGCAGACTTTTTCAACTGAGAAATACTCTCAATGAAGGACGAGTGAGAAAGCAAGTCGCCTGATTTGAACAAAACCTGAATTGCACTTCAGTATTCTCAGTAGGCCTGCATTTATATGATGTCAAAATGTCCATTGGATTTTTCTAGAGGACAAGGAGACTTTATCCCCTCAACAATTAAAATAATTTAATTTAACAATTGACTGCTTCTCTAAATAATAATATAACCATCAGAGGGATTAATATTGTTTTCCCAAATAAAGATTTGAGCACTATCATCTCATGCTTCATGTAAATATCTTGCTCATTTTATAAGCACACAAACCAAAACTAATGGGTCAATAGAAGAGTAGCATCAATCTCAACAGCTATGGCTCTCTCCGCAAAGTGAATAAAATGCATTTCACAAAATGTGGAACCATTCCTTTTTCAATTTCAGTTCCAATCACAGTACAGTGCCGACCTGACTCATTCCGGCTCCTTTTCACCGTGTCCCCAAGTATCGGTTTGACAAAAGCATCATTATCTAAAGACCACAACTGGATGTGGTAGAACACAATGCAGCGACTGAAAATGCTCACTTGGCTAATTTTGTCTTTGTAGTATCAATGTGGTAAGTGAACATTGTTGTCGTTGAAGCAAGCGATCATGAGAGCCACTTCTTGAATTTCCTTCGGGATCATCATCATCTATCTCTATCTTCTTTTTTTCTTTTTCTTTTATTGTTATTGTTTATCGTTCCCTGCAATTGGTCCGAAAGGCCGAATTATCCCAATAAAGTATTTGCAAATAAAAAAAATGTTTGATCCAGTCCAAGACCACCTCTTTCGGTCAGAGTCAAAGCTTTGGTCCGTTGGTCTGCACCGAGGTCCAACTTCTTATTTTTGTTTGGACTAAACTGAAAAGTCAGAAGGTCCGGACCAAATAAGCTAGGTACGAAAGTGCCCTTAAAAAAGCAGATCCTTCCAGTCTCATATTAGTTTAGTTTCCAGTGTTTGATTACTTGTGACGAATTTCCATATTATGCCGTTCTTCTCAGTTCGAGATAACAGAGTGACTCAGTTTTGATTTTATTGAGCGACTGCCCAGTCACGTGCAACCTTGAGCCTAGTGGGACCATCACGGCTGATGTTCATGAATCATGAATAACTGCATGGAAACATTTCACCTTGTTCGTCTTCACCTCTGCTACATTCATGCTACTGGAAATAAGAGGAAGCAGGGAGTGGACACAATCCTAAGAGACGTTTCCACTAAATTCACTCATCAAAGTGTAGAATATCATGCCACTGATTACAGAATCACAGATCTGCTTCACTGCTGTGACTGTGCCATATATTTGTGGATTAAACAGAGTTTTTATGGTTTATCCAAGCGTGCACAACTGCCCTCTATGAAGGTGTGAAAGAGGCTTTCTCCTGCCATGCTCCCACAAACAAACAGGGGATCAGAGTCATAAAAAGGTCCATTCAAAAGCATCATTCAATGCTGAAGAGCTGAAGCCCAGCTTGGGTTTTTTTAAACTTTTTTTTGTACTCGATAGTGCCTTGAAAAGTGCTTGCACCTCAAAAAAAAAACTATAACCAGCAGCTGAGCAGGGAAGGGAGTATGGTGTGAGCTATTTTTGGGGGCAGAGTGTGTAACTGAAGCAGTGACAAGCCAGCTGTGTTTCCACAGCTTCATGTGGAGGGGGGAGGAGGAGGAAGAGGAGGGATATGAAAGCAGCAGTGATTTAATTGAACTGGCTCCGTTCAAATGCAAGTTTACACAAACCATCTCCTGGGCTTAGCCGTAAGCCCTGTGACGGGAAGCAGTGACGTTATGTTGTGTTTACCAAGGCTGTATTTTCAGGCCCAGAATGCAGTGCAGTCACAGGGTTTTCCCGAGTTTAACCACGACATGGCCCAAAAACATGTCATTCACTGGCTTGAACCCCTCACTTCATACTAGAGCACGACCAATATGTCGGTTTGCTGATGAATATCCGCTGACGTGAGTCTTTAATAGACATACTGTATCTGCATTTAAATTATTAATACCTTTATTTTACAGAATTACATTATTTTACGTTAACAACATGCGCACTAATTCCAGAAAACTGTAAGTAAGTGTAAGTCTGTAACTGAAACGCATATCTCGGGAACTGAACTCATCATGTCAGCTTCACACTTAGCATGTGCATTGCTAAAGAAAGTGCAGTGTCGGATTTGGACATGCAGTACATTCAACATAGGGTGACTGAGAAAATGATCACGAAACAACTTTTCCTCGATAGAAATTGAAGACATGGTCGATACAACATCGATAGAACTCATTCCATCCATGTTTTCACAGTCAACGCGAACAACCAACGGTAAGGAGTATAGCGCCACGCCGAACCAATCATGTGGCTGGAACAGAGTTCAGTCACGTCAGGTAAGGTTGGCGCCCACGGCACAGAGCGAAATGTTTTGTCTATTTAAAGTTCGACAAGAAGTTTGCAGTGCAAATTTTGTCAAAAGCATGTTCGGACAAAAAACGGTAATACCACTAATCTTTTTTTACCACCTGAGGCAGAAATAGTGATTGGATTTTTTATCGTGATATATATTCATATCGATTGATATGAAAGAAATTATAGAGATACGATTTTTATCCATATCGCTCAGCCCTATTTTCATTATTAACCTCCATACTGCTCGTGTGAGGTCATCGAAGTGACCATAAGCCCGGACATTCAAATTTGACTCAAAATGGCGTCACTTAGACAAAAGTGTCCTCTGACATCTTCCTCTGGAACCACGTTCACGTTGGGACGCTCACACAAGCATCGCTAGTTCCAGTAGAGGACATTAGGCTCAAAATTCCATGTAAATGACGCTGTTTCGAATTTGAATGTCGGGACATACGGACACTTGGACGACACCACAGGAGCAGTGTGGAGGAATTTTAGGGTTTTTTAACGTTTTGAAGAAGTGGTCCCATTTACTTCAACTATATTGGATTTGGCTGCGACGCTGTTTTACCCCTGAGACTCCAGAAAGGTTTTAAGGACTCAAACACTTCACCCACGCCTCCATCGGGCATAGTGGTGAGTAGATACTGAGGGAATTTTCATTTTTTAGGTGAACTATCCCTTTAAAGTGGACCCCTGGAACCTTCACCAGGACCCAGAACAGCCCGTGCACCACAGCTTGAGCCTCAGACACATTTTGTCCTGTGTGATCTTTCTCTGACTCTTTGTCCACACTGCTCAGACAGCTCCCTGCTACACTCAGAAGACACGGGCTCTACCTCCTCCTCCTCCTCCTGACCCGTTTCATTGATCTGATTAGTTTCAGTCTCCTCTGACAGCTGAGAGGAGCTCAGGCAGCAGTTAGAACCCGGCTAACGTTAGCAGCTCGATGCTAACGAGCGATCGTTTTATTTACCTCTGCGCTCCGCAGCGAGGGCGGTTTCTTCAAAGCCAGTTTGAAAGAAGTTTCCGTGGCTCCGGTCATTTTCATAACTTCGGCTCGAACGCACCTCCGGGGGACTTTGACTCTCTCTTCCGGCGCTTCGCTCGCTTCTTCTCCTCCTCGCTGAACTGAATTAAAAAAAAAACCTCACATCCCGGTGGATCCGCTCCTCACCGAGCCGAGCATGGATGGAGTGTAGTCCCGGAACACGGAGCGAGCGCGAGCCGCTTCTCCTCCAGGAGCAGGAGCGAGGCGTGAAACTTTCTCAGAGTGACGGGGAGTTGAGAGCAGGAGGCCTCCGGTGTTCAGAGGAGCACATGTTGGTTCGGGAGGAAACTTTCAGGTCGGGAGCAGCCGTCAGTCACATCCAGGGGCTGAGATTTCTCCTCCTGCTCCTCCTGCTCCTCCTGCTGCTGAGAGGCGACGACATCTGTCTGCGCGCTGCGTTCAAACACCGCCGGAAACACCAGCTCTTCAGACGTCACAGGGAGTGACGATGACATGGTTAAAAAAAAGAAGCTCGAGCAGATGAGACTCAGAAAGTTGGTGACTCAGGGATGGTGGAGGTTTACATATATCTTAAATTCGCACATGAGGATATTGAGAGGGTTCAAACTGAATATGTAAACTAATTCCTTCGCTGTGATAAACATGTTTAAATCCTGTAAGTTCTTTTAATGAGAAACTTTCTCAAAATAATGACTCAGTATCTCATACATCTATCAAAATCTAAACGTGTTATTCATTAGACATGTATTTTAAAAGTCACCTGACTCTCTGTACTTTGCATTCTCTACTTTCTCATTTATCCCCTGACTTTTAAAGTGACCAAAATAAAGTTGATTCAACAAGTCTTTGAAAAGTCTCCGATTATTTTATGTACTACTGAAATGAAATTTAGATATCATCACAGAATAAACAGATAGATAGATAGATAGATAGATAGATAGATAGATAGATAGATAGATAGYTAYYTAYWTAGWTAGATAGATAGATAGATAGATAGATAGATAGATAGATAGATAGACAGACAGATAGATAGATAGATAGATAGTTCGCGCACCTTCCTTTTCATATTCATCCTACGTTATATACTCTAACATGCTATTGTCAGCAATGATTTTTGATAATCAATTAGTGCTATTTGATTCAATTGAAGTCCACAAATAGGAGTGAGTATTAAATGGATAATAAATATTTTTAAAATAACATCAAAGGCAGAAAGTCTCCAATCTTTCCTTTCAACACTTTTTAACTGATGTGTGAAGTGAGTGGAAGTCATGATGGCGCCTCCCTGTGGACAGATGGCCGCACAGCAGCTGGTCCAGAAGCAGGTCTGTCTCCAAACAGCTGATCTCAGACTCTTCCAACAGTCCAACATAACAGTCTCTTTATTTCTTGTTGCTCCAGACATTTGTTTGAGAAGATGTTTCACTGCTGGAGTGTTTTTGAGAAATAGAATGAAATGAACTGATTAGTGTTTGTTGTTTATCCCTGAAAGTGTTATTGTCTTGTTTGTTGATCTCTGGACTCTTTGTTGTATCATTCAGACGTTTTATTTTCTCACTACTTTATGTTAATGTAATTTGTGTGTTTACAGACAGACATGTTTGTTAATTCAACATGAGAAGTTTCTTTGTGGTTGAAGTTGATTCAACTTTAAAGAAAAGTTTCTACAGCTTATTTACGTGTTGAAAAAGAGTCCCTGAATCACTCAGGGTCAAGTTCCCATCAGCTCTCAGCAGCCTTTGGAAAATAAACTGAAGGGGCACAAACTGGCAGATCAGAATTTTCAACTTCTTTCACTGACTTCACTCAGATGTTCAACTTTAAGTAACTGTTGTTATTGGTTGTAATAGTACTACTTGTAATATTTGTATCATTACTCTTATTTAACAAGAAAAATGGAAAAATAAATAATATGAATAGTTGAAATAAGTCATTATTCTTGAATTATTATTGTTATTATTATTATTAGTCTAATAATAATTGGACTAATGATAAGGTCACTATTATGATAATAATAATTATTATTAGTAGAAGTAGTATTTATCTTTTTAAATTGTCTAAATATCCCATCAACTATTCAGTTATTATATTATCATCTTGATTTTGATTTTACCTATTTTATTTCTTTACATTTTCTCCATTTCCATACAGCCCATTATTACTCTTATTATTAAAAGTAGTACTAGTAGTTTGTTTAATTTTTTTCTTATTTTAAGTAATAAATAATACTAATTGTAGAAGAATTAAATAGGTTATTATTCTTGTATTAGTATTCTTATTTTAAATAAGAAGAAGAAGAAGAATACTGAGCCAAAAAGCCTCAATTCTGGTGTACGAGCTTTAAAAAGAGTACTTGAACGCAGCACAGGTCCTCCCTCGGATCTCAATGTGGATTCATAAAGTTTTAATGTTTTTACAAGTTGACACGTGTTTTTAGTAGAAAATCCTCCTTCATGTCTCCATGTCTCCATGTCCTCATGTCTTCATGTCGACTTGTCCTTCTCCTGTTCAGTTTCACAGTAAAATTACAAGATACACAAACACAGCTGCTGTTTATCTCCATGCTGGATCTTGTAACCTGGCTGTTGTCATTGGTGTCTGTCTCAGTGATGTCCACACTGTCAGGACCACGCAGTCCCCGGTCAGGACACGCTCATGTTTATCAGTCGGTGGATTTGCCTGCAGCCTGGACAGGACACTCCTTCCTCCATTGCGTAACTGAGGTGTGTGCGCTCGATTCATTCCACCATCCTTGCCGCCAGGAGGTGGAGCCGGGTGGAGTCGCAGGGTGGTGTAAACTCAAAGGTGGGTAAAGGAGAAATGTGTGATCCAGATGGTGAGAAGTCAGATCACCTCCAACCCAAACCGTTATTCTTCTGTTCATCGTGCACTCCTTTATAACTACTTTCAGGTCTGTTTAAAATCTGTTTTATAGCAACGTGAAAATTATAGTTGGCAAATTATTTTGCGTATAAAATTAACAAGGTGTGAATGAATCATTTTGGAGGCAAGGAAAATAAGGTTTCCTGACTGAACCTCAAAGCAGCTCATTCAATTACATAATGTTGGGATTTGTTTGTTCAGTGTTTGTGGGAAAGAAAAGAGGAAACCACAGCTGCTAATCTGACATGTGAGGAAAGTCAAGCCTGGAGCTGCTCCACTGAATCAGGGTTTGAAAAGAAAGCTTGGATGTAATGTTCCTTTATTGGAATATCTTCTGAACAACAATATGTGCTCATATCTATTGGAGTCAGAGTTTTTTCTGTCGTTATTAATGCTTGAATCTAAATAGAAGTCTTGATATCTTTGGTTTTCTGTTTCGGGAAAATGATTTTATTTTCCTACACATCAAATATCAAACTTTCCCCATTTGCTTGAATTCCGGGACATAAAACAACTGCACTTCAATTCTCAACATCGGGCATCTTTATTGCACAACATTCCCATAAAATTGGGAAAAAAATAATTTGAGGATACAATTCTTAAAAGACATTCTGTACAAATGACGTGGAAATAAACAGTATGTACAGTTTACACAAACTGTTACACATACCACAGCAACTAAATAATTTATTCATGTACAAAGAGGGAAAAGCGAGATATAAATTCGAACCTTTTTGTTTTTTTTGTTTTTTTTTTTTTAAACATCATGGCTGGGTTGTACAAAAACGTAGGCCGATATAGCTGAGCATCTTCGATACAGTAACAAGCGTGTTTACATCAGATTTTACCAGCAAAAGGAGCGCTCCAGACGCCTGCGGTGCGTCCACGCCACTTCTCCGTTAAGACTTGGGTTATATTCAGGGTGTGATTTGGCTGGACAGAAAGAAAACTAGTGCGGTTCCAACTCTCAGCATCACACTGCCAAAGTTATTCCTGCTTTTTTCAACAATTTGTCAAAATTGGGGATTTGTCAACGTAAATGGTAGAAAATAAGGAGCTTCAAACACACTGCACCACTTTACCCTCAGCCTGCAATTCCTTTTCCATGAAGGTACATTTTCAGCACAGTGGTAAAGTGGTTAAGTGGTAAAGTGGTAAAGCGCAGTGTGGACCATAGACCGTGAATAAAGATGGACGACGCGTCTCCACTTCCTCCCACTGTCAAGAAATGAAACTATCTTGGGTATAGGGGGTCAGAGTCTGCACAGTAGCGATTGGGGGATGAAGCCGGAGGAGAGAGATCCCACAGATACACGCGCTCGACCAATCGTGTGTCAGTCTCAGCTGTCAATCATGACGTTTCACCCCATTTTTATAGCATCAAAAAAATTTCACTAAATTACTCGGTCAAACTTCAGTGTGATAAGAACCTAAAATGACAAGAAACATCTTTGAGGAAAATCTATATCACTATCCACTAACATGGAGGAGGCAGAGTGTATGACCTAAACTGTAGCCACTCAACACGGGGACGCTTCTGCTTCAGTTTGGGGAACGTTCATGTCGTCCATCTTTACATACAGTCTGTGGTATCGCCTGAAACGCAGCAGTTCCTCTCTTTTTCATGTTAAATAATTGTTTTACTCGCACTATTTTGTCGGCAATGAAACAAAGAAAATATACTTTGATTTTCAATGATATCAACCGTCAGCAAACACTGAGAATAATGAAATTATGCTGCATTAGCCCCGCTGCAGGACACACTTTGTGCCTAGGTGAGAATCAAAAAATGGAAACTAGCAAAGCGATTCAATCTCAGCAAATCCCACCCTGGGTTCGTGGAGAATCAAAAGAGAAACAAAAAGATAAAAGTGTGCTACTATAACTTTTGCTTTGTTTTACAACTGTCAGAGAAACTGAAAATCCAGTAGTGTTAACTGATACATACATATCCACTCTAAGGCCTACTGTGTTCCTTCTCCGTCTCCTCTCGCCGCAGAAAAACATCAAAGCCGTAAACATCGTATAAATGTGGCAAAGCTATAAAAGTGTGAAAATATTTCAGCATCTAGTTTTAAAATATAAGTAGATGATGCATTTTTTAAGCTTTTCCACAGTAGAAAGGAAAACGCCGTCATCACATTCTGATGCATCAAATGTTTTTTCCTCTTTAAGTTTTGTAACGATCATCCTAAAGAATTAAACAGCCTTCCCTTTTTGAAAGAACACAGCATAGAGTCCGCACACAGTTGACACCGACATTCCTCTGATTAAAATATCTTAAAAACTACACCTCATGGTTTTCTATGGGGCAGCTGTAAGTGTGTGTGGGTCGTCCACAGCCCATACGAAGATCTGAGGTAGTGCTGTCCCTATGATAAGAATGTCAAAGCCACTTTTAGCCATTTCAGAATTAGTTTGTAGAACAAAAAATAAAATCACGGTGTGCACCTCTGTGACAAACCATAAGGGTTAAAGTCAGGTGTGTATTGTAATTTGTCAAAAAAAAAAAATCCTGTGTGTCAGATTTTGTTTTCGATATCTCAGGGAAATTTGGCTTGTAAACAAACACAGGAAGATAAACAACAAACATAACAAAATTGGCGCGAGATTGATAATGTTCTCAATGATATTTACCTCAAAGCAAAGTGTAAAAACGTCCATCTGTTACCTTTAAACTTGGAGTCCGTCACATTGTGCGACCGGGTTTAAGATTGTACAGAAAGAGAAACAGTTTCAAGAAACAAAAATACATTGTTCATGTTCTGTAGGTATCTTAAAAGTTTCATCTTCAACTGGGAAAATGAATCAAGTCTTTGGCTTTTACGTCCAAAAAAGTAAAGTGAGTCCCGTTTTAAAACATTCAAACAACAGGAGAAGGTCATTTCAGGGATTCCTCGGTCGTCCGCAGAGCCACGCTCCGTCCGTGCGGCTGTGGGCTGCAGCCTCCCACTGTGGCACAATATCAGCATTGCACCAACTTCAGCAGCAGGGGTGGTGAGGGGAGGCGCTGGCTGTGGTCCATTAACATGTGCACTGTACCTGCAGGGCAAGACCCACCGAGTCCAGGCACACGAGAAAGGAAACCATGTCGGGGGGGTCAGCAGCGGAGCATGGACAGCTGTGTGTTGGGGCCAGAGTGGCACCGCCCGAGTCAGACCGGTTTCCTCGGGCTGCTCAGGGACTTCAGTGTCTTTACGGTCTCATAGAAGGATCTGAGCCACATAGGGGGAGTGGGTGCTGGCCACTGCAGCCAGCAGGGGAAGGTCGCTGGACTCGATTCTGTGAAGACACAAGAGCACAGATCCAGACAGGGTGAGACTCACGTGAGATTAAAATGACAAAATCATTTCGACACGGTTATAAAACACAAAACTCTGTGGCATTTGTTTACAACCCAAAATATTGGTGACACTGGATGATTGATCCAGGATGTGACTTCTGACACGTTTGCAGATTTCCCAGGCTGATGAAGTTTTAACTGGACACTTTTCTACACTTTTTATTTCGAACACAGCTCAGGCTCCAGATAACTGGGCTTCTACTTGTTCTGCAGCCGAATGATTGAAAAGAATGAAAACACTATTCATCTGTTGTTTCTGCATTGGCAGAGGTATGAGCTCCACTGTCATTCTAGTTGTGGCAATGTGACGAAATCATAACTGAGGTAGAGCCGTTGAACATCTATGAGTTGAGAATAAAGGTTGATGCTCACCCTAAGACCATGCCCAGTTCTTTCACATGGACTCGTGTCTGGCCCTTTAAATACTCAGCAAGCATCTTGCTCTTGAAGTAGATTTCCTGCAGGCGGTCCTCAAGGTGCATTATACACTAAGGGGCAGAGGAGGGAGACAGAAATCAACATTAACAGACAAATACTCACTGGGTGGAACTCAGAACTTTTTGTTCTGTATCACATGACATTACAAAGAGAGATGTAACATACAAAGTTGGGTGAGAGGTTGAGTTTGTAGAGCTGATGAGTGGACTGTAATAAGCTGGAAACCAGACTGGACACCAGGACCTCCTTCCCCAGCTTGTTGACGTCAGTTGCTCGTCTCTGACTGCTCGCCACCTGCACCGTCCACTTGTCTGTGTCTGCTATAATGCAGACAGCCTCCGCTATGGGCTCATCCAGTACCGGATGCTACAAAAGATGACAGCATTAGATTTAACTCACGAAAAACAGATTCCTTACACGTCCTCTTTCTGTAGTTTACTTCATTATACTTATAATACAGAGCCTGGTAATTCACACCAAACATGAGGAATAGTTGAATGTCAGTGGTCCACTTTCAGTCGTATTGACTCAAAATAATTAGATCATATTGTCCTATCATTTTACAAAATGTGGTTTCCTAATTAAAGCTATTTGCATATATTTTCCAGATTACCTAAAAATATAGGGAACACACTAAATTGTAGATGAAGGAACAACAATCTGCCAAAATCTCAAATTAAGTTTACACCCCTCTGGTTCACTTGTAATGGAACAGTACCAACTTTAATAACAGTAGCTTGTAGAGTGATCAAACTCAAAATCTTCATGACTCTAACAGTGGAATATAATCTCCAGCAATAAAATACTCAAGTCCTTTACCTGAACAGCATGAGTTAAATCAGCCATGAGGCTCTGCCGCAGCTTCTCGTCACTGGGCATCCCATGCAGTACAAAGTCTGGCACGTAGGTGGGGCAGTAGCCCCCAAACAGAGACCTGCCAAAATTGGCGATGCTCGGCTTTGAGTAGTTCTCCACCAACTTCGACCTGGAAATCAAACATATGACAGGAGATGTGTCTTTTTTTGACTGAAAACAGTTTCTATTCGTGGAGCCCTTTAGTGAAACTCTCGTTGTATCTACTCTGTTCAGTGAGTGGCAGAAAGACGGAGCAGCAGTTTGTTACCAAGACTAAGGCTGTGCAGGATGTGAGAGGCAAAAGCTGCCTTCACACGTGTACTACAGCTGTTACAGTCATGAGCAGAGTCTGTGTCAATGCATCAGCTGAAGCGGACATTAAATAAAGTGTGCATTGACAGCTAGATCGCACAAAGTCTGTGTAATGTCTGACTGAGCTGACGTGCAAACAGATAAAGGGATGAAATCAGCTGGCATGAGATAGAATGCAAATAGGATATGATGACATCATGAATCCATTACCTGGCTACTTCCTGCATTTGACACATTGACCATTAACAGTCCGGTCACATACAAGGTTTTGACCTCGTCTTGTCGTTACCTGGTTAAAACATTGTATTGGACATAATGTGGATTGCACATCAGACCAGTGCAGCACGTCCACTTACCCAGGGAAGGGCACCAGCACTTCCTCCTGCCAGTCCTCCGTCTCCTCACTCTCACTGTCCCCTAGCGCGCTGTCGGAGCTCTCGTTGCGCGGTATCTCCCAGTCATTGACAGGAGCCACCTTATGCTTTTGGTCTTCTTTACTGTTGCTGTTTCTGTCCTGCGGGACTGGGACTGACAACACGAGACCCTTGTCCTGCTCAGCAGAACAGCCCCTACAGCAGCAGTTGTCGGAGGAATCTGTGGAACCACATCTGCACCTCATCTGGACATCCAACAAAGTGTCTCCTTTCCTGCTGGACCCCACCTCTTCCCTGTCCGAACTTAAACAGAGACCCAAATCCTGAATTCTTACTCCACCCTGAAAAGTCTGAACTCCCAAGTCACCAGGCCCACGGACTCCCGAGGGGTCCAGCAAGTCTTTGTGCATGCTGTCAATGGTGCTGGCCTGCTGTCGTTTAGACACATCGTCTATTGTCCTCGTCTCCACAGGGTTGTCCAGGCCGATGCACTCGTCAAAATCATCCATACATGCTGAGCTCCACTGGGGCATCTTACTAGACACCCGCTGCAGAGCAGGAGCTGCCTTGGTCTGTTTGGTTTGGTCCTCCGATGCACTGGTGCTGCTGGTCTTTGAATCTGTTCCTCTCTGCAGCTGCAGCGGTTGCTGTTGATAATGTTGCCCTTGATGATGATGATGCTGTTGTTGTTGCTGATGCATCAGCTGCTGCTGGTGAAGCAGATGTTTGTCCTTGAGGTGTTTCTTGTGCTTTTTAATCTCATCCTCCACCTTCCTTCTGCGGCTCTCTGTGTCCGACTCAGGGGACATGGAGTCACCAATGAGAAAAGTGACTTTCGTTGCTGGCTCCTCTTCTGTGAGAGTCAAAGCCATGGGCCCTGTCACGGTGTTTCCCGGTATCACTGGCACTGGCACCATGGCAGAGACGTTCTTATCCGGAGGCTTCTTCTCTAGTGGGATTCCCAAAGGCCAAGGATTTAGCGCTTTGGTGAGAGGGTTCCCCGTGCCTGCATCCATCCCAGCCGCTGTCCCGGAGTTCTTACACTCTGTGATGGGAGTTGGGGACGGACTTGATGCACAGGTTGAGGGTATGATTGGGAGGGTAAGTTTCAGTTCGCCCTTGGTCTCTGTTTCCAGCACACAGACCTGCTCCCTGGGTGAGGCTGAGCCAATGCACAGCACGGTCTCGAGTCGGGCCTCTGTGCCCAGCGGGCTGCTAGACTCCCTGTGCAGCTCCCCAGGCTCAGCTGCTTCTATAGTCCTGATAACAGGAATCATGTCCTGACTGTGTCCGATCTGAAGCACACTGCTCCTGGACCCTTGACTCTCACTGCTGTCCTCCTCTGCTTCCTCATCCTCGTCTTCCTCCTTTGGTGCATCCTCGGTACCATGCCCCACATCAGTGTCTGTGTATGTGCTGCTCTGGAGGCTGTTGTCCGAGGGGTAGCTACTGTCCTCTGTCTCACTCTGATGGCCATGGGCCCCTTGGGACAAGTAGTCCCCGCTGGGTTTATGGACAGTAACAAGGACATAGTCCGACTCCTCCACCTCTCCTTTCCTTAGGGAGGTGGTGATGAGGGAACCAGGCATGACGATGGCCTCATCCTCAGCACTGTCCAGCATGTGCGTCTCCAGCAGCTCAGAGCAGCGGATGAAGTATGTGAGGACATAGAGGAGTCTCTGGACCAGATCCTGTCGTCGGCCAACCACCACCGTCCTTGAGAGGCGTACTGGTGACCCAATGGCCCCGTACAGGTCCCCTACACACAGTGAGGGAAAGAGAAAGGAATCATGAGCATCACTGATCAGGTCTTCAGATGCATTAAGTCCTTTAAACAGGTCATGTTTATTTTACTTAGTTAATTTTAGTGAAGCCTTTTGGTTGTTATCTACAAAATCAGGACATAAATCTAAAATATAATGTTTGTGTCTTAAGTTTTGTGTTTGGTATCTCCATTGCTTGAGAATGATTATGATCGATGCTGCATATAAAGATATGACAAGGGGGAAAAGTATGCAAATTAAACATTTATTCCTTCCTGCACTGATAGAGCCACATTTAAATAATGAGCAGCATAAATCACATTTTCTACCTCTTCTTTACCTTCTTTGTTTTAAATGACCACTCAAGTTCTGCAATTCTTAGCTTTAAACACTAGGTGTCAGCATTATACCACTTTCTTAATGCTTTGCCATGTGGACTCCTGAACAAACTCTGTTAGACATATATGAATTTATGGAATACTCTTGATGGTTGTATCAATCAAATAAAACTATAGCTTTTCACAAATGCAACATGCTTCAGTGCAAAACTAGTAACAAAAATATATAATCATAGATGGGGGGAAAAAATATCTAATTGAAATCCAACTGTTACATGTTGATTAGAAAACTGCAGGCTATTGCACCTGGAATCCATACTTTCATGTGAGAGGATATAAACTTCACTGTATCATCATGATACGGACATACACAAGAGCTACCTGAAACAAAATGAAGACTTAAGAGAGTTGCATGAGAAGATCATAATCCAGTCCTAACTTGTTTTCATGCTGTAATGATTAACAACATTTACAATGGCAGGTTTGAATGTGTTCAAGGTTGAGCCAAGAGGATCAAACACAGGTGTTACATCCTACTTCCCCTCCAGCCAGGTGCTTTGACACAAAACAAAGGCACATTCATCTCACTCTGTGTACGTGTGTGTATTAGTGTATATTTGTGTGTATTTGTGTGTGTGTGTGTGTATATGACACTCACCTAGCTGTGCCCAGAGTGGATTGTAGGGGTGTGTCTTTGCAAGCATGTCCACACTCTGAGAGGAGTGTTTCTCAAGGAAGATCTTGATTGGAGGCTGCCCATTGGGCATGACGGTGGGGACCCAGGCCAGATGATTAGTCAGGATCGACGTCAATAAAGCCGGGAGGAATCTGGAACATCAAACACAAGTTGGTCAGCAAAACTCTAAGAGTCCTGAAATGTAGTTTCTGGATGGATACAATCAATCAGATGACTTGACTTCTCAGTTTCGTCCCCTGACTTTGTTTCACTAGATCAGATGTTCTCTAAATATGGTGGAAAACATTGGTCAGGCTTTTTCTTGCTAAACTGGTCACCACATAGCAACTCTCAAGAACAAAGACCTGTACTCACTTCTCTTTCCTAACCACAAGAGTCTACTTCCCTTCCTGTCTCATGACTCAACTCTATCATGGCAGTCGAGTTCAATCGTTGCAAGGACACAGTTGTGGCTGCTGCTGTAATCAAAACCATTGGTCATGGGAATACAGATGGGATGCCTCAGAAAAGACACAGTGTGACAGAGTAACGTCAGCGGCTCCCAGAGAGACCCGATACTACATTCAAGAGCCGGCAGCTTAGTTACGTGTTAGTCATCATGACCGATGGTGGAAGAAAGTATGACTTCAGCTAAGAAGTGATGCTGACAGACAAACACCACTTGTTGCCTGGGAGACACAGTTTTTATTATTGGTCAACACAATGACAGTGTAGTGATTTAAAGAATGAGAGTAGGTCTGTAGAGATCCACAGTAAACCATATAATATGTTCTAAATAATGTTTTGAATAATAAAATAATTTGGAATGATAATCCTAAATCCTTGTATGTTATTTCTTTTCTATTCCAAACACTATATCTAAGATTATGATTTGTTCTGAGTCTTTTTAGTACAAATTTTCTGTTGCTCATGTTTCACTTTCAAAGCCCTGCTGGCTTTGGTCACGTTTGTTATATATCATTTTTGCAGTTTTTCCCAACAACTTTATTCGTTGCTAGTGCCAGAGACACAAACACCACTGCCCTGGTCGTTGATTTAAAGAGTTTATTAAGCAAAATGACCAAACGTCCTCTGGGTGCAACGCCTCGAATATGAACATTTCTTTGACAGATTCTAAACTGACTTGAAATTGTACATCTAAGGTTTAAATCTTGTGGGTTTCATTCAATGTCATTTAAGAAACTTTTTTTCCTTTTCCATTGTATCTATATCTTAGATTTGCCAGCATTTAGTTATTTTTAGTTTTCTTTTGTATAAAAAACAATAAAAGCAAACTGTTCTGGACCATGTTACATGAATGTGGACTGAATGAATGAATGAAAAAGTCTTGCTGATGTCCTTTAAAGTCATTTTGATGCAACAATTCAGTTCATTATAATGAATGCTACTTAAATCAACCGCACTGGATATTGGTGCTTTGTTCAATAAAACCCTTGCTACCAATTCATATATTTACAGCAGTGGCTTGAAATGGTTTTGTAACAGCAACAATAAGTGAGTAGAGACTGGCAGGGATCTTCTCATTCACAGCTCCCTCTGAGGGAGACAAATAAATGCAAAGAGGGTGAAGCATTCACAGTGTGTGTGTGTGTGTGTGTGTGTGTGTGTGTGTGTGTTTAACTGTTGTATGTGAGAGAGAAAATGAATAGTCTGTGTGAGTCTGCATGTGTTTCATGTGTTTCATGAGCTTGTTTAGGAAGTACAAGCCAACAAAAGAAGTGGAAGAATCTCTATGTGTAACATTTCTTCATGTCTGAATGCTAATGTGCATGTCTTTCTCTCTGTATATCTGTGAGCTTGCATGATTCCTGCCTGATTCCTTTCTGCTTTTTGGTCTTTCAGAAGATCCAAATAGCTCATTTCCACGAGAGCTGTGTTTGTTGTGTATTTTCATCTCATGTCCTTCTTAGTCCGAGACAAAACCTCTTAAGGTGGTGTGAGGACAGACCAGGTGTGAGAACAAGTGGACACTCAACTGGTTCTTGGAGGCCTGCTCCATCAGCAGGGAGAACTCCCTCATGAACTGACTGCAGAGCTGGTTCTTCTCCGATGCCCCAGACATCATGGTCAACCAGACAGGCTCAGCCACCCGAGGCATGGTGTAAAGGTCGCAGATGGTCATCCTGGAGGCGAGGTACAGCAAGGGAGGAAGGGATGAAAGACGGAGAGGGCGTGTGGAGAGCGAACGAAAGGGAAGGAGGGGAAAAGAGAGAAAACAGACAGAGATGGAACAGACACGTTATTGTCTCCCGGGGGTAAACAAAAGAGATCTCAGTTCACAGAGCGTTGCTGTCTGCACTGAGGCCATGGGAGACCCTGGGTGTGTGTGCGTGTGTATGAGTCCGTCAAACTTGTGCACGCTCACACACAACCTCGTCTCTTGCTCTGTGCTGCATGTGTGTGTTTGAGTGTAACTATCTGTATGTGGCTCGGCTTGGGCATTTGTTCATTGAGAAGGACTGGAGTTTCCATGGAACGTGGGGTGTGTTGGTGAGCATGTCTCGGCCAGGGGCCAGGCTTTGACACAGGCCAGAGGGGAATCTCTGCAGCCTGAGGAATGTCAAGAATCAGGCGTTTCTTAGTCAGAGCTGTAAAAAGGATGGCAGCTGCTGGATTTGTCCTCAAACAATGCTAAAGGAGGATGTGGAATTTTATCCGTTTACCCTCTTTCCTTGCAAACATAACATAAACAACTGCAATCTTCTGCAAACACATAAAACACAACAGCATAGCCAGTCTAACTCAAAAGGAGCTAAACAGAAGGGAGTTAATGTCATTTGGACCTCAACGCACATAAAAGATGTCTCCTGCTCTCTTTACATATCATTGTCAGCAGGCCAGACAAACCATCTAATAATCTTTTTTCATTCCTGCGTTGTAAACAAGTCGACTTATTATTATCCGTGGCCTTTTTAAGCCCCACTTGACCCTGACTGCTGTAGATTGATCTATTGAAAAAGCCCCCAGTGAGTAGATGTCTGAGAACGAGCCAGTGCTACATGAGGGAGATCTGCCCTCTGCTCTTTTGCAGCAGCTGTTTAAGTGAACTTTAAAGAGTCGCTTGTTATTTAAATTACCTCACGATGGTAAAATATTTCTGACCTCATCAACAGCTTATGGCCTGGTAATGTGCTGTGTTTTCACTAGCTAATGTAAACATGGCACAGCTACAGTCAAGGATTTATTCTGGATCAAGTCTCACTTTGTTTGCATTTGTTGATATATTAACGCATTATAGCAAATCAATGAGTCAATTCATGTGTTTTACTATTTCTTTGTCACAATTGTAATGTTTAGTATAAAACTTAAAATGTCTAATAGACTTAATTTTAAGTGATTATAGACCTTGAATAAAATAAATAACTCAGAAGCAATTACCAGGCTACAGAGTGGCAGTTTTTCTAATGACTGACATTTGGTCCATTATTAATTTTTTTTAAGTATTTCTGGTAAATGGGATCTACAGAACCTGGTGTGTCGAGTGTTCTACTTGGCTCAGGACAACAGCCTGTACCTAACATAACCCCAGTATAGGCTGGTGTGACTTTTATGTATAAATGCCTCTGCTCACTGTGCAGCTTATCTTTGGCAGCATGCGTGTGTGTGTGTGTATGTGCACGTATTTCCTTGCCCTCCAACTACGTCAAAGCATTAACCGGAAGGCATTTCTTCCAGTTTCCTTCTGTAATATTCCATGAAGTCGATGCCTCTTAATGGCAAAGGTGGCTATGCTTAAATTTAGCTGCCGTCTGAAGGTGAGATTTTTATTTTGTTTGTCACGTGCAATAGTGTTTTTCCTGCTGGCACTCATATATTATTTACTATTCTGGTGCTTGTGGCCGCTGCCCGAGGTAGATAGGGTTGCCACGCAGGAGGCTTGGGTTGCCGTGGCCGAATGCCAACAGGCATATGACTGCAGCAATGAGGGAACCTCAGACGTGAAACTGCCTACCGGCGTGTGATTGACAAGGAAAAGTAGTGGTGGAGACAGGCATGTATGCAGACACACATTAAATAAGTTAGCACTGACAAGTATGTCTTACACATATGCACATAAATGCACACAAGCTATTCTGCTACCTCATCAGTACAAATTTATGATTTCATTTTCCATGTCATCTCATATCAAGATTAGATCATTCTGGGAACTTGTGTTTCTAAAAAGCCTAAATAAAGCATCCTCTAAAAGTAGCATTGTGCAGGGTTGAGTTTAGGTAGTGTCTAAAACACTGATCAATACGCTTCCCTGAAGACAACCAAGGCCCTGAAGCTAGACCTTCCAGCATGCAATGCAGTTACAATGCAACACAAATGATTTGCTCAAGACAGGCGGAGAACAGAATGTTCCCCTTCCCTCTGTATTTCTAAATCTTACTTTGCTCAATGTGCATCTTATTCATCCCGTTTCAAACTTCATTAATTTGTACCTATACTCTCAAATATACATCATACATAAATATGAACACATACAGATGAATTATTCATGACTGCCACACCTCAGCACACTGCATCAGTAAGTGGTGCAGAATCTCATCGCCTGTTACCTTCACGTCTCATAGATTCACCTTGATACACTAACTGCTGTTTGTCATGACGTCGTTTCTAAAAGTCCTTTGTCATTCTCCTTCGATGATATCAGCAACAAAAAGCTGACAAGAACCATTTGATTCTGAATTTTAAATAAAAAATATACATGGTTTTTGGGGATAGATTCATCTAAAGTGTTGTTGCCATGCAATGTGATATTTTTCTTCTTGTAAAGAACACCAATGGATGAGATTATTTTCTGTCTGCCAGCAACAGTATTAGGGTCAATCTCAGACGTTACCAGCAAAAAACACAGTGTACTGGCTGCTTGATAGAGTCTGGCCATGCACCACATGCTGAAGAAAGTATGGTTGGAATGAAAGGCATTTGTGAAATACTTCTCTGGCCATTAAAGCTGCCCAAATGTTGGTGCTATTACACGAGTACTACAGGATTGTAGTTTGAGCACCTCCTGAACAAGCCCCTGGATAAAAATGTCATGTTTTAGATATATAGTTTTTAAATGAGGAGAAATTTAAATAAACTATTTTGAGGACAGAACAGTTTCTGTGTCTGTCCTCTGTAGTGTGTGATAATCTTCACGCATATTTTGAACACCCATCTTACCAAGTGCAGCGGCTACTTATCTGGGGGGGAATATGATTCAGGTCCTTTACCTGCCTGTTTGTTTCTATCACACCAGCCTTTCCAGGATATTATCTTTCCCTAGCTATCAAGAAACAAAATCCTGTTTACCAGTGTCGCATTATGTGCAGTGACGACTGATAGACACAATGAATGATGCACGTTGCACAGCATGCTCGTGTCAGGTTATATAGTGCAGAGATACACCAGACACCTCTTCTAAGTGAAGCGTCTGTTTCCTGGGAACAAATGTTAAATGTCACATTTTTTCCGCTGAGTCGCTCAATGATGTGGGGGCATTGCTATGTATGTAGAGTGTTTGGTTCCAGTAAACAGAAACTGAAAGAAACTTAGAGGTTTGCTTTGGTGAACTTTCAGTAAAGCTTCTGCCTTAAATAAAGTGTGAGTGAGTGTGTTTTTGGCCCATATCAAAATCCTTGTGTTTAATGTGCAGGAAAATATCAGTTCTACAACCACAAATACAACTGCTACAAAGTTTACTATGTTGTATTGTGAAAAGATAAATGATGGAAGATTACTGTCTGTGCCACAGTGAGTTAAAAAGAGTTGTTGCCCAACCTGAACTCGTTGAGTCCGTCCATCATTCGGCTGTAAGCCAAGGCCCTCTGGCTGGTATCAGCTGACCGTCGACTCATCTTCATGGCCTTGAGAGTGACATAGCACACACGCTTTGAGCTATTTGGCACTGAAGCCAACAAACAAAGTTACAGGAAAGGTGGAGCAAGGAATTTGTAAAAGGGGATGACAATGTAGGACAGGGTGCCAAGTTGGAATTTGGCTTCTCTTCATATCTCCCTGCTAAATAGGTTTCTTTGACAGGTATATACACAAACATTGGAAACATCAAAACAATGGTTTTAGAGTAAATAAAAAGAATAAAGACATCAGGAAAAGAAACACAAAAGGGAAATCAGGAAGAAGCTCCACTCTCATAATAGCATTTCTACACTTTAATTCACCTGTTCGATGGCGCTCTTCAGTTTGTTCATGTGGCTTTCAAACAGAGGGAAGTGGGAGAAAAAGAAATCCTGGAAGCGGTTGTTCTCCTCGGGATTGGGGGACAGCGTAAAGATGACTCCGATGGCGATCTTCTTCTTTCTGGCTACGCCGAGGCCCGGCCCCCCGCTTTCATCAGACATGTTGAAGCTCTCCTCCACAGACCTGTCCGGGACAGGGTTCACGGGGGGTTAATTTTAGAGACAGATTCTGGAGGCCACGACATGAGGGTAACTTCCATGCACTGACTTATTGTCTAGAACAAATCTATTTCATATTAAGTTATATATATCCTCCCAGATTGCCTCACATAATAAATAGTAAGAATACTGTTTAGCATCTCCTTTTCTAAGTCTGCACTTTTGATTTACAGTTAATACTGTAAATCAAACATTTTAACAGATTGAATAGTTGAGAAGAAAAATACTTGAACAAATATGTAAAGAAGAGAAAACATGTTAGGAGACTTTTAATCCTCGACTTTTTTACTGCTTCAGCTGGTAAACAAGATGCTTTGGTGCTGCTGAACTGGAGAGGCTGGAAGATTAAAGCACCCAGAGGCCGACAGCTGCATTTATAGTGACAGGCCAACACAATATCCTGACCAAAGCTCTGAGTGTGAGTGTGAGAGTGTGAGTGTGTGTGTGTGTGTGTGTGACCACAGTTATTAGCACAGCAGTGCGTGTCACTTTCCCAGCTGCCTGCTAGATTCTGAGGATGTCCTATGAGAACAAACTACAAAAACCTGATGAAGCTGATTAATGTTTGTGTAGAGTCTCTGAGAGTGTTTGAGAGGGTGCTAAGAAGACAGGCCAACACAATATCCTGACCAAAGCTCTGAGTGTGAGTGAGTGTTTGTGTGAATGTGTGTGTGTTAGAGTTGAATCTAATGATCGATAATCTATTTCATCACCTAACCCTTTTCAAGGGAGGATTTTCTGAAGAGAGAAAAAAGACAGAAAGAAAGATTTCTCTGTTATAAACAGAGTTTCATTTCTGTTGTTTCCTTTAATTTGTGTGTAGATTAATCGGTAAAACTGTTTTTGCACAGTTGTGTTGTGCACATATGCTTGTATTTGTCTCACCATCGGGGAAAAACACCGTTCTCGAGACTGGTGGTTTGGCTGCGGAGCCATCGGCGCTGGTAGCTGGACGCACAGCTGCTGGTCAGAGAGGAGCCAGGAGATGGGAAAGGGGTGATCAACAGGCTGCTCAGAGAAGCTAAAGAGACAGAGAGGAGAGACAGAGAAGAACAGTTTAAAAAAAAAAAACAATGTTGCAAGAATAAGAAGAGAGGAGGGAATGGTGAGTGATAGAAAACAAGTGTATACGAAAACAAGTGTGTAGGGTTATGCATCCTGAACACCCCCCCCCACCCACCCCACACACGCGCACACACACGCACCGAGAGAGAGAGAGAGATGTAACACTTACTTACTGGAGCTTTAATATGAGATCTAATATCAGCTAGTCACATGCTGAAGTTATTGGACAAGCTGGCTTTACACCAACCTGGCATGGTAATGACAACTGACACACACAAACACCCACACACACTGATCAAGGTTATTTACAGCCCAGGCAATGGGCAATAGTCACATGAACCATTAAGACAGAATGTGGTCTTGTGTGTGTACGTGTGTGAAGAGATAAAGACAAATGACGTCCTGAGGGCGAGTGAATGCGTACGTGTGTGAAAAGAACTAAAACTGTGCTAACGAGTTGAAGACGTAGCGAGATGACTGTAGTAAGAGGAGAGGGAGGGAGGTGGGAATAGATGAGTGTTACAGGCAGACATGTGCGTACGTGTGTGCATCAGAGATAAATAAAGAGCTCTCCAGCCCAACCGCAGGGAGGGAGGAGATGAGAGGACGAGGCTTGAATTAGAAGCTTGTTTAAAAGTAACAGGTTTTTTAAAGCCACTATATTTACCCTCTGCATGTGACCTGGGAAAGAGCCGAATACATAATCTCCCTTGTGTCAGTCACGTAGTTTGTGCAATGGGGGAAAGTGAGCAGAGCGGGGGTTAAAGGTTCAGCTTCCATTGCACAAGGTATTCTGGACCATACAGGCAGTGTAAACACTCCCACACTGTCTTCAACCCCTGCATCCTCTTCTTTCTCTCTGGTTTAAGGTTAAAATACTTTTAAGAATTGAAGGATTGACTGTGGAGAGAGGACATTTCTGAATGAGGACACATCCCAATGAGTCATGACTCGGTGTCCCCCTATGGGTCCTTTTAATGAATGGAAAACTGAGTGCATCTACCTCTGCAAACAGCATTAGGGAAGTCACTACCGAGGAAGTAACTAGTGTTTGTATAACTCTACATGCTTGTGAGCTTAAGCAGTGATGTTTAAGCGCAAACTTTCTCAAGTGCAAGAGTTCAATAGTTTCCTGGCTTGCACTTGATCTTCTCTACAGGAATAAATGTAAACCTCCTTCAATGCTCGACAGGACAACTGAGAGCTGTGTTGTGTGTAGGTCAATCCAGGCTTTGGCTCCTAGTCTAATTAACCTACCTGACCTGGCGATGCCGCTGTCCCTCTCGTCGTACAGCCCTCGGCCAGGCATGTCCATGGGGTGACTGTGGCCTAGAGGAAGGGAGGGGGAATATGCAGGGAGAAAATGAAGGGTTGGGTGGGTTAAAGAGAGAAGAGATGGAGGGAAATAGGTTCGGTGAGGGGAAGGTAGGAAGTTAAACAAGGGGGAAGTGAGAGGGATGGAAAAAAGACAAAAAAAGAACCTGTGAGAAACAGACCAATGTGATCAACAAACAAACAAATACAGAGGCCAAGAGTCTACAGCCATGCTAACTAGTTTAAAAACAATCTATGTCCACACAAGCAGCTTTGCATCAGTAATAATCCCCGTCCATAGGAACACACCTAAGAATGCATCTCATGTGACAGTTCATGTACAGTCAGCATGTGCAGGAAGCAGACCGTCTCATTGGAGTTGGTTGCTTACTTGCAGAAAACACACCGAACGAGAAACAACGATGGTGAAAAGTAACAGCTGATTTAAACTGATAAGATGGAGCAGTGTTTACCACACATCACCGGTGGTCAAGTCATGACTGTTAAACAAACAGGTCCTATCAGGAAGCAGATGCAGGTGACAGTGGCATTTTCTCATTTTTGCTCGTCAATAATATAACGCAGCCCAGGAGTTCGCAAACTAAAACACGGCCGGCAGCGAAGTGGCCCCTGACAACTCCATGATGTGTAACTGCTTATAAAGTACAAACTGATGCACGAAAAATAATAAATAAATAATTGTAACACTATTTGACTATGATTCATAAAACCCCTACATGTGAGGTCCACACAACTAAGGCTCCACACATGAAGGTGCTGGATGACATGTCTGTTGCTGACTGATTCTTGTGCTGTTGGTGCATCCCGTGTTTAGTAAAACCAAAAACAGGAAGTGTCACAAATAGAAAGATAATGCAAAACCCACTACTGTCGTAAGCAGCAACTGTTCCTACAACAAGCACTGCAGTAAGGAGGTCACCGGGTCTCCTTCTTGTCAAATAACCTTCTCTTCAACACTTCGGGGCTAAATAGCGACAACGATTGTCTCAACAGAGATGTGAAAACCACAAATGCAGCATTTGAATGTGGAGTTGAAAGGACTGATGTCCCAGGCAGTAGTAGTAGTAGTGTGTGTGTGTGTATGTGTGTGTATGTGTGTGTGTGTGTGTGTGTGTGTGTGTGTGTGTGTGTGTGTGTGTGTGTGTGTGTGTGTGTGTGTGTGTGTGTGTGTGCGCACTCCTATTGCACACTGTGCTTCCTGAATATACCAACATTACATAAATGAGAGGAAGACATGCCATGCCAAACTATGGATGAGCTAAAAAGAATAGAGCGTAGGCGGTGTGGGGAAGAGGATCTTTTTATGAAAGCACCACCACAGCGTGGGCAGAGGGTCTACCCCAGTGACAGGGAGGAAGGAACACACACTAAATACTTCAGTCATTTTATTTTTAGTTATTGAAAGCAAAGCATTTGTTTTCCAGACTTAATCTAGCTATTTGGTCTGTCTAGAAAATACACTGTTATATTGTATGCAAAAGCAATGCACTAAGTGTTCGATTATTAGTATGAAAAAACACAAATCGTGTTCTGTAAGAGACAGGTACTGCAGGTACCTCTATTTTAAACCTGTTCCATAGTCACAGGCAGGGACAGCTGCAGGCTACCTTACTGTACACATTTTAGAACTATTACTGGCATATTATTGGCTTACTGCAGAGGTGCCCTTGGGCATTTCACCACTAGCTGGTCAGAGATGTTTAACTTTGGTTAATGCATATAACTGCATGCATATGTAAACACATGCATCTCTAGAAGTCTGCAATTGTGCTATTTGATTTACTTTTGAAGTTTAAATCCACTAAAGTTGAATATCTTTACTATTGTAAAGCCTAGAACAGTTGCCTATCAAAGACAAAAGGATAGTTGAGAGTGAAGTGAAGAACACATAAAGCAGTGATAATGAAAACTACAGCTACTGACACCAGTGAGCACCCATGCACATCATTTCTGTGTATGTCACACACCTGCAGGCCTGAGTCAGATAACAGTGGCAGATATAGTAATCATTATTTGAGAAGTCTTTATTGCTGAATGGGTGAGCTTGTGTAATGACACAGCCACTAGCAACAAAAAAGAAAAAGGGGGTGTTCAAAGCCGTACATATTCCGTCTGTGGTTTAATAGTTGGGGCGAATGAAAAAATAAAAATAAAAACATAATTTCTGCAGCTATTATCTGACCCAAGTTATTTGCAAGTGTGCTGTTGCACTGCATGCTTCGACTATTGCTACTAGTGCCACAATCACCACACAGGCATGCAACTGCTGAGAATCTAGGCCTGTAAAGCCACCACTACTGCAACTACAGCCGACACACATACATGAAACCAGCACACATCAGTCGTGGCCAGTTTTAAGCGCCAACCTGAAAAGAAAGATGCGCTCTTGATGAGGCGCAGAGGGCCCTGCTCAGAGAAGGCCCGGCGAGGGCTGCAGAGCTGCGAAAATCCTGTGCAGCACAAACAAAAACATGGATAGGAAGAGAAGGAAGAGGGGGGGACAAAAGAAAACATGAACCATGGTTAGTGAATAAGTGAGGAGGAGAAGTAGAAACCTCCTCATCTTTACGGTACGTAGTTATGGGAAATCTTTAGTCTGGAATGAAATAATACCCATCGTGTAGCAGGTCAGTCAGCCAGTTTAACAGACAAAACAGGAAGGCTGGTATCACTCACAGAAAACACAGGTAACCAATAAGACTAGGACTATACATTTTTGCCTTTTCTGTGAGGATGACAGAGAAAATTCATAAAAAAGATAGATTTTGCAGTTCAAGCTGTTATTTACACATTTCATACTGTCAGCCAGTCAAGTATCTCAGAAACTGACCATGTGTAACAAGTAGAGAAAGAATGAGCGTCCACAAGAGCAACAAGTTTTTCTGAGAAACTTGTTCTTGCACGGCCAGTTTGGAGGTTTTTTGAGCCTCTCAAGAGCTTAATGAAGGGAAGCAGTATGAGAGAGTTGTTGGCAGTTTTTTCCAGTCTGATTCGTATTCAAATAAGAATGTGAAAGGGAAGGAAAGAAAAACCAAATCTTCTGCTTCTTCACAGTTTTAGAAAACATTTCA